TGAGCCCCCTACTCCCCGGATCCCCCTACTCCCCGAACCCCGAAACCCGGAGCCCCCTACTCGCCGAGCCCTGAGCCCCCGAGCGCTCGCGGGGGCGGCGAAGACACCGACTGGAGGGGAGCGAGCGGGGCGGCGCGCGGGCACCTCGGAGGGGAGGGGACGCGGGTGCGGGGACCCCCCCCTCGCAGAAACCGCTGAAAAGACAAGCTGCCCATCAGCTGGCAGGGGCCGCGCGGACCCTCACTCTAGTATTTCATTTTCACCCGGCCTGTTCCGAAAATGCAGCAACAAGTTGAGCAAGGCAGAAGTGTGAAGAGAAATCATAACTGCAATGACGTTTCAAAGCTAACGAAGAAACGTGCAAAGTTACCAAGGCGTTTAGAACTTTTCAAACTACAGCAACGTTCAATATTATTAGGTAGGGATTCGTACTATCAATGTCCGGTACTGAGATTGGATGCAGGACTCCTAATAACTTCCTCCAATAACCAGGCTGCTTAGAGATACCTTATTAAAGGAATTTAGTGATTTTTTCGTTACAACTAAAAAAACAAACGTCGACTAAAAATCTTTATTAACTTCCGTTTGGGGCCGACCAAAATAACTGAAAAGCCTCCCATAAAACACCTAGTGATAGTGGATGAATACAGCAAGCATCCTTTTAATACACAGGAAATGACCAGGGCAAAAGCAGGGGGGCGAGTGAACGAGGCCGATGAGCAGAGATTTCCGCTGCCCTGGAGTAGGCAGGTGGGTGGGAAGGTGGGAGTCCTGTGGCCCAGGGCTGGGGTTTTCACACCCACACAGGACCGAGCCTGGAACTAAGGCTTCCAGCAGGTGGACAGTAGCATTTGCGACACCTGTGTAAAGCCCAGATGCTCACAGGGGTGGGCCAGGAAAAACAAAAAACAAAAACGCAACTTTTCCTGGGTACTGGGGATGACCAGAAAGCTTGCCTGACTTTGTCAGGGTCCTGGGGGTGAAGACCCCCACTGAGAACTCAAAACCCAGGTTCTGTACCTCATTCGCCACCCCCCACCTGGAGACTCGACCCTTGACAGAAGCAAATTCAGGGGAATTTCTAGAGAGACCCTCCCCAACCTGGACAGGAGCAAACCCAGGGGCATTTCCAGAGAGACCCTCCTGCCTTGGGTTGAATGTCCCCCCAAAACCCAATCCCCACCGTCAACTGTTGAGGGTGGGAAATCCTATGATGGTCATTGAAAGGTGGGGCCTTGAAGAGGTGATTGTAGGACCGTGCAGTAGTGAGTGGATTAAAAATGGTGGTCAGGGGCGTGGTTCTGAGGGCTTTCAAAAGAGAGTGCATGAGAGCTCTGCTGTCTTTGCTCCGATATTTTTGCAATGTGATACCCTGCTGTCACTGTCGCTGTCACAAAGGCTTTCACCAGCTGTGTTCCCTGGACTTCAGACTTACTAGCCTCTGAAACTGTAAGCAATAAATTTCATTTTCTTTATAAATCACCCAGTTCTGTGTATTTTGTTATAAGTAACAGAAACGGACTAATACACCTCCCCAACCTGGATAGGAGCAAAAGCTTGGTCAGCAAGCAGCAGCTGAAACTTTGTTGAACAGGTATGTTAGAGGATAGGAGCTGAAGAAATAGAAACAGACTCATCGATTGCAAACAAATAGAAGAAAAGAAGGTAGAGAGAGCACAGACAGTCCCACAGAGGTGGTAGAAAGGGAGAAAATGCAAAGAGGACCGTGTGCGGTTAAAAGCACAAAAGAAGAGGGAGTAACCAGAACATAAGTGCAGTAAGAAACAGTGAGGTGGTTATTTGCACCAGGCCATAAAACATAAAGAGGCAGAGTGGTTAGAAGTGAGAAAACGCTGGTGTGCTGGTATTAACATCAGACAACATGGGGTTTTTGTCAAAAGCCAATGTCAGAGATAATTTCCTTAAGATACAAAACACATAAGCCATAAAGAAAAAGAAAAAATTTGCTATGCTAAAATTTTAAACTTTCATGATTAAAAAAAAATACTTAGATGAAAAGACAAGCCACACACTGAGAAAACATTAGCAGAGTATATAACCGACAGAACATTGCTCTCCAGAATATAAAAAGAACCCCCACAGATCAACCCCAAAGGGCAGATAAGTGCAGCCAGAAACGGAAAAAGGGTATGAACCACCGGCTGGCCCTGGTGAAGAGACCTGTGCTCCCTGCCCCGCTCCCCTCCTCAGGGCTCC